TCCGGAGCCCTCCACTACGGCGTCTCTCATAATCATAGAGTGGTTTTGGGACGTTAAACCCCACATATCAATCAGTATACGCATTCGGTGTGTATATAGCGTCGGAGATTTGAGTGACTTTAGCCAGTGTTCCGATCACGTGATTGAGTAAGCGTGAAAATGGCTCCGCGCGAAATTATATATAGAGTACGGTTGTACCATCTTCGTCCCGAGTCTCTCGTTTTCTTTTCTTCTTTTCACGATGAGCGTTTGACATTTAAAAGATCTGACGGAATCTCAGCAGTTTGACGCCGCTGCGAGCCATCGACTGCGATGAGGTGGTTGCGGTATGCAAACAGGTGCGCTATAAACTCGGATGCCGTGAAAGAGTACACGAAGAAATGCCAAACATCAAAAGCGGGCGAAACGGCTGTTTTTTTTTTTCTTTGTCTTTTTTTCCACCTTCGCGGGTTTCGAAAACGGATCAAGTATTCAGACTTTGTCGTTACAATCTGTGTTCGCAGTCTTGCCTTTTACGTAATGAAGCTGGCGCTGAACGCTCTTGATAAAATAAATCGGCAGGTCACGGAGACCGAAGGATATCGCTCTCGAGCAGGACCTATAACGTGTTACCGCGTGCTCCACGCTCATATAGCTGCATATCAATGTACAGTCACGAACAATATATCAGGGAACACTGAAATCAGCTTTTGAATATGATACTGGCTAAACGCAGTTGCCAGCCGCAAAAAGTGTTTATAACTCTACATGCTCACGCGGAAAATCATCTTTTGCGTATCAATACGGTCACATTCGTATCGTTACATTACAAGTAATCGATGATTACATAGGAGCCCTATCATGCTCATGACTACGTATGTTTGTGTTCTCCTGCTGCTCTTTTCTCTGATGCCCGTCCCACCATTGCCACTATACTGTAACGGTGTACCATGCATCGTAATCACCACACTCGAAGTCTATATATTAAGCCCCACGGTTTATGTGTAAACCAAGGGTTTATGTGTAAACCAAGGGTTTATACACAAAACGCGGGTACACATTACTCAAGCAAATCGTCATCTCGGAGATTTCCTACACCAGTGGACAGCGCCGAATCAGGAGGCTCTAACTATAGGAGATACTCGCCACACGTGTATCGATTTGAACGGGCGTTGATTGGTTGGACGAGGAAATGCGGGTAATTATTGGACGAGCGAGCGTATACGTCACGCAGAGAGACGCTATCGCGAAAGTGAGTCGGCGGGTATACACGACTGCATGTAACGCATAAAATTCTATACCGCGCGACACGTGGAGGTATCGCCGGTGACACTATATAAGGCGGAAGTGAGTGATACGAAAACGATTCGCATCATACCGCATTAAGATACGACAAACATAAAAAAATGAAAGAAATCGAGGCTCTCGTCGGGTCTTCGCGCACTTCGATACCCGCCATACTGCTCAAAAAAAAAAGAGGCGATGGGAGAGATTTGACAAGACGTAGGGAACGTGAGCCTAACACCGGAGTCACGAACTGCGAATGAGAAAGAAGTACACTGATTCCTGCCTAAAACTTGCAAGGATTGGAACCACCTCCCACAATCAGTTGCATCCATTAACTCGCCTTGCAGTTTTAAAACATCGCTCGATAACATACTTGCTGTTGGAAATGTAAACGTTTAATTTTGTTGTTAGTTTTCTTGTATAATCTACTGGCTGTATAACATAGTTGCAGTTGATAATAGTTGCTTTCCTGAGTTTAATAATGTTCTAATGTCTTGTCTTGTCTTGTCTATGTATTCTTTTCTTTAACATTGTTCGTCAGTGCCCGCTCCCCTCTGCAATGCTGTAAGCCCTGAGGGTACAATAAATGAAATGAAATGAATACCACCGCCGACCTTGGAACACTTTTTTAGAGCGATTGGTATAGATAGTTGCTCATAAATATGCGGTATATAGAACAAGGGTCCTCGTCAGAACTTTGTGCTCCTTCGAGGTATACAGCTGAACGGTGTGTGTGTACTCGGGTGCGCAACAGGTTCATGGGGCAGTGCGTTAAAAGCGCAGCAGCATACGGACTGTTTTACACGTAGTGCATATAGGTTGGTGCTTCTGTCACGACACCGGCGCAGCTGCACATGAGCACACTCACACGTGAGTGGATAGCTCAAAGATCACGAGTGGGTGCGCCTTTGACGTAGTTTGATGGACGTACAAGGAGGGCGAAGCAGCGGTGTTGGGTATATACTGCCACCATGCAGGAACAAGATGAACAGCCGTCGGTGCATGTACCCAGCAGGCGCCGTCAGTTAACGGGGGCAGGTGTCACTACGAACGGGTGACGTTAGTGAACAGGTGTAGTTATAAGTAAACCGGCAGGAGCCTTAGTGAAGGGAAATTGTTAGTAAAAGGCTGCCTTGATGTGTGTCGTCAGCGAGTAAGTGCCGTATACCATAGACTGAACGGGTGCCGTAACTGAAAAGGTCTCGTTGGTGAACCGGTATAGGACACGTCGTTTGTGAGCAGGTGCCGTTATTGAACAGGCGTAGTTAGCGACGATAGTTATAGCGCGTGAACAAAACGACGACACAGAGACAAGAAGGACACGAAAGACACGAGCGCTAGTTAGCGAACCGGTAGGTGCCTCACACTGAAGAGGTTGCTGTTTGTACAAGGCTGCCTTAACGAACGGCTGTCGTTTGTGAACAGGTGCCGCTATCGAATGAGTAGCGTTGTTGAACAGGTTATGTATACTGAACAGGCTACGTATGCATGTTGAATCTGTGAGTCGCCAGTGAAGTGTACAATTTCGGCAATGAAACTTGATGGGTATGACGATTTCACGATAAGAAATTTCGGCGTGAATATCAATTAAACCCAGTTTAACCGAAATGCGTAGTCACGTCTTTTATCGGCGCTTGATTGTAAGCCTCGTAAAGAGAAGCGCCACCTGCTTTCTAGCGATGCTTGTAAAGTTAACCCTATATCGCGACGTTCAGGAATCGCTCGCATTAACAATAATTCAGTGAATACTCGGCAATTTCCAATGTACGCCGACAATGAACTTTTAATCATTGGAAGACGAACCTCACAAAGAAACAAACCCTGCCAATCATGATCAGCCGAGAATTTCACGACGCTCAGAAACGCGGTGAATTCGAGAGAAGCATCTAGCTGAGCAACGGCTTTCTTTGAAAGTGAAACTTCGTGAAATGGCCTTTCCTTACATCGACGAATCCGTGTCGCGTTTACGCTATAAGCGAACGCTTTTTTATATGTTTGAAGTATACGTCTTCCAGAAGTACGTCTTACAGGACCACGTGAAGACTCAACGCGACACTCCATATAATGGGTGTATACGCATGAAAATGGGTTTCGCGTGTATACAGAGCACGTTGAGGGTGTTTGGGGGCGCAACCAAATGTGCATAGATCGCGCTTTTTAGTGAACATAACGTCTTAATGATATCAGTGAACATAAGGTCGTAACGATATGGTCGTAACATAAGGTCGTAACGAAAGGTCGTAACTAGGTCGTGCCAGGGTGGCACGACCTAGTCAGGCTTTTACTTAGCCTTTAGTCGTGTCCCCCAAGGCAATCTTGTTCAATTTTGCCTTGAATAAAAGCAAACCAAACCAACTATCTCTACCCGTTGAGAATAACGAAGACTCCATGCTCCCCAAGAAAGGAAGTTTCGACAGCGTAAAAAATAATCTGAACCGCATGCCTTCACCACAGTGCTTCAATGAAACAGAGGGTTCTTCACGGAGGCTCCCACGAAGTTGCGTAACCTAACAGCTAGGTGGCGCTGTGTGCTTCCGAGACGAATCTTCAGAGTGCATTTGAACAAGCGTGTACGGTCGAAAATGGTTTAGGACGGCACAGAGGAAACGGAAGGCACTCGCGTTTAGGGCCAAAGAGGTCGCAAGACGGCGCTCAGAAAGTGAAAGTTCAGGAGAAGGGGTCGTGGGAACCGGACATATCCTGTGAGACCCAATCGTGCCGTTGTAAGTCGAAGATAAAGAGGAAAGTAGCGCGAATCAGCGTGGCGTTGGCCGTGGGGCGATGTGCGGATTAGTGATCACGTAACCAGGGCGAAACTGAGAGACCTAACAACCGATAGCAGAACGAATCTCCGAATTTTCGATTATTGTTATTATAGCTTCCAGAATGTAGCCTATCCGTGCGCGGTCTCCACAAGGTGGTATGGAGACTGGTTTTGAAGCCTCGGTAATCTATAGTTGTGAGCGCAATTAACTCTGTAACTATAGCAGCAACGAAATAAAAATAAAAAGGCATAAAGAAACAAAAGAAAAGAAGGCTATATAGACACGATGTGGCGTATAGCTCGTAAAGAAGATGAATATAAAAAAAGAAAAGTCATCCGACAAGTTCGTAGCACAACGCTACAAATGAAACCTGGACTGATCTCTCGAAATAAAGCTTCGTAAAGAACGTACAAACAATTTGTCATTGTTCGGCATTCGACTGCGGAAAAACGCCTTTCAGGAACGGTTGTTCGACGATCCATCCACCACCTCAGCTAACCAACAGACTGGTGGATGGACGAAAACAGTGAGCGAAAAGCAAACTGCCGAGAATTTTCCCAGCGTCTCATATGAGCGGCAGCAACACAGCTGACACGCTTGCATTCCCGATTTTTTGAATGAAATACACCATAGAAAATGTGGCATGGGTGCAGTCACACGTTGCTACCTGCAGGTGCACTGCAGACAAATTATAAAACGCGAATGGCTAGCCAGTCACACCCCGTATACCGAGTCCATAGGCCCTCGTAGAGGTTGGGGGGAGGCGAGACACCGTTATCGCCAACTCCGTCGGCGCGCAGGTATACGCAATACTGATCGCCGACGATCGGAGCCTCCTCCTTCGCACGGGGCACACACACGCACACACAGACACCAAAGAGGGGCGTAATCTCCTCGGCCAGAAGAAGCAGCACGCTGACAGGAGCCGATCATGGGCGCGATCATCGGGGTCTACATGACTATACTCACCCAGCATCTTGCTCAGGTCGGCGTTGTGCAGGTCCGGGTTCTCGTCGGCCAGCCTTTTGCGTTCCCCTTTGGCCCACACCATGAAGGCGTTCATGGGCCTTCGGATGCGCTGCTCGGCGCTCCGCTTGCCCGCCGCTAGGGCGGCCACCTGTTGCTGCGTCGGACTCTCGGGCGGCGGCGGAGGAGCCACCACACCGACGACGTTCACGGGGTTACACCGCTGCTGAGGCGGCGGCGGTTCGAGACTCCAGCGCGGCGCCCACTCGCCGCCGGCGGCGGCGGCCGCTGCCGCTGCCGCAGCGAGCTCCAGCTCGCGCGGATCGTGCTGCTCCCGTTGCATCCCGGCACTCCGCTGGCGCGCGCCGCCGACCGTGCGGCCATGCTTCGGGCTCAGCGCCAAGCCGCCCCCCCGCGCGTCCGACGCGGCCAATCGGAGCGCGCGCGGCGTCGTACGTCAAAAGCACGTGACGCGCGGCCAATGGGAGAGGAGGCGCGTTGCGCACGCGCGCTCGAGCGTCCGCGGCTTATCCGTTCGCGCGCACCCGCTGCTTGCAGCAGCAACGCCGGAGTTGCGGCGCTGCGTCGCGCCCGGTTCGTGCGGGGGAGGCGGGCTCCCCGACCGCGTTCCGTTGACTGGCAGCTTGACAGTGCGCGGCGGCCTCGTGCGCTGCAGCTGAAGGCAACGGCCGCCGCTCGCTCCTCTCTCGCCGACGACGCTGGAGAAGTGAAAGGCTGTAAAAAAGAAGAGAAAAAAAACTTTTCTTTTACACAGACCCCTGACAACAGCTGGCGAACCGGACCACGGGCTCCGACAACGGGTCGGCGGCGTCGGACCGCCGGCGCTCGGCTCTGATGGATCACGGCGCATGCTGCCGTAGCGCGCAGTTGGACGTCCCGCTGAGATTTCGCGCACCGCGGGGGGGTTTTGCGCGCTCTGTTTTTTTTTTCTTTTTGTCTTTTCCCCTCAGCGCGAGTCTTCGTCGCTTGCCACAGCTGCTGCTGTACGACGACTTGCGGGGAAGAGCTGTGCAAAGCACAGTCCTCGTCGTTTCGTGGAGTTTATTTCTGGCGCGTATTTTTTCCCAGCTGCACGCTCAGACCAGAGGCTGCATCGCTGCTTGTCGGCGGGGCAGCTGACCCAGATGGCCGGCCCAGATCGGTCCAGCCGCGCTGCCTTATCAGCGCCGAGTGTGCTTCCGCCTTCGCCCCCGCCGTGCTTTGCGCGTAACGCGGGCAGCACACACATAGAGGGCGCTGCGGCCCCGATGATCCCGGATCCACCATTACTGGCAAATGGTTCTCCTCCCGGAGTTTCTTTTTTTTTTTTCTTTCGTCATTTCTGTTTTATCTCGGATGGGGGTTTTATAGCGCGACGGTCGTTAGGCGCCGCCCCCCGGCATGACCCGAGTCCCCTTTCTGGTCTGGGATCCGATCCCAAGGACGCCACCCACTCTCCGGGAGTCCCATACTCCGTGTGTCGTTACGAGGAGAAAGAACGGGTCGTTCAACCCCCGAAGCCACGCCCCCTACGCCCAATCCTGGGTCTCATCGTTATTTTTTTTTCTTCGTGTGTGCGTCCGGAGGACCCGCCCCCTCCGGAACCCCGGGTTCAGTTAACTTCTCTCCGCAGCTTCCCTTTTTTCTTTGTTCAGTTTGTCTCCTCGATAACCGCTAGGCGGAGGCACATGTCCTGGGTTATTTAGGAGGTCTTTCTTTTTTTTCCTTATCCTTTCGTGTAGGCAAGGCTGAGCCTCGTTCTCCCTTTGATCGATGGTCTGTCGGACGCCGTTAGGAGGAATAAGGGCTGCCCGCGGGCGCGCAAATGCTGGAAGCAGGCGAGCGATCAGAAAAAAGGGGTGAATCGGAAAGGTCAGATAATACCGAAACCCTCGCGTGACTCAATGCACCGAGCGGTGTCACTAATGGTTCCGCGGACAGCCGTTATGGCGGCGCTTCTGGTGTTACGGTGTCTGTCCCGATGGGCCGAATGTGTGTGCGATATCGATGCGGGCCGAAGATAAGGCGCAGAAAGCTCGAGACCCGCAAGTTTTGTAAAGAAACGGGGTCAATCCAGAGCACAGTACTCTTATAAGAAGGAGGGGTGGGGGGGGGGGGTCTTCCTTCTCATCTGAGGGTGAGGTTAGTTTTGGCTTGAATTCTTTAAAGAGGCACTACAAGAACTTGCAGAATGAGAAAAAAGCAATTAAAGGACAACCATAGATGGGTCGCAATTAATAAACTATGCACCTGCTGCCCTAGGCGCTCGAAACACACAGTCGAGCAGTCTCCTCGCCTTTGTAGCGTAATCACGCACAACGGTGGGTCAAATCATATTGTTACACGACATCAGCAACGAGAGAGCGTCAGGTAGACGACAAAGACGATGAAAGCGACCGCGCTCCTGTTGTTGTTTTCGCTGTTGTACCCCATTATCCTGCCGCCCGGTTCTTGGTCCATCCCCCTCTGTGGGTGAGCGCCATCCATCTGAGGTCATCAGCATCAGTACCAACATCTTTGCTGCAGCTGCCTCTGACTCTCCCTGTATACTCTGTAAACATATTTATTTCATTCATTCTCTCAACCCCGTGACAATATAAAGGGGGTACCAGTTCTGTACAACAGCTTTACTCACACGGACCTGCATTGTTGATGTTTATCGGGCAGGGTTAAGGCGACGTAAGTATGTGACAGATATGGCGAACGGATCCTGATTGATTGACATGTGGGGTTTAACGTCCCAAAACCACGATATGATTATGAGAGACGCCGTAGTGGAGGGCTCCGGAAATTTCGACTACCTGAAGTTCTCTAACGCGCACCTAAATCTGAGCACGCGGGCCTACAACATTTCCGCCTCCATCGGATATGCAGGCGCCACAGCCGGGATGGCGAACGGATCCTCGATGTCGCATTCACATAGCTCTTTACTTCCGAAACTTTACTTCCGGAAACCGGGGACATACGGCTGGCCATTGTGAAGAAGCTCGTTGTGAAGAAGCATGCATTGCGATGATTTCTTCCGAACTTGGCGAATGAGTATATGTGTTTATGAAGAGGAAAGATGGAGGGGGGGGGGGGGGGGGCAGGCGATGAAATTTACGCTTCCCAATGGCGTCATTTAATCTGGCTCAGCAGGCGAACGTTGATCGCTGGGCTGAATTTGCTCGTGCGGAGCACGCACTGGCCACACCACATTGTTCTTCGGACTGCTTGCAAGTGCCGACCGCCTGCAGGACCACTGCACGGCCGCCGCACGAAAGATCAGCGTGCTCTAATAATTAGACTCGAACGAGAGTCCTCAAACACTTAATCGTGGCCCTAGTATCGCTACACCTAAGTGTCAAGCATACCATGTGACAGTTATCGGCGACCAGATAAGAAGGCTGTGCGGGCAGGAGTGCCTGGCAATGCGCGATGATTGCTTATCTCTCACACCACCGACGATAAGGGTGCAGCAGAAAGGCGCGCGCGCGCCATCTCTCTCTCTCAAATTTTCTCAACCATTACTGATAGATAGATAGATAGATAGATAGATAGATAGATAGATAGATAGATAGACAGATAGATAGATAGATAGATAGATAGATAGATAGATAGATAGATAGATAGATAGATAGATAGATAGATAGATAGATGGGTGAATAGATAGATAGATAGATAGATAGATAGATAGATAGATAGATAGATAGATAGATAGATAGATAGATAGATAGATAGATAGATAGATAGATAGATAGATAGATAGATAGATAGATAGATAGATAGATATCTGGGGTTTGACGTCTCAAAACCACCACATTATTATGAGAGACGCCGTAGTGGAGTACTCCGGAAATTGCGACCACCTCGGGCTCAACTACTACAAACCAGCATATAATTGTTTTGGCAACTGGCATAACAGAGCACGCATGCGCAGGCAACCAACGAAGAAGCGAAGGCGAGCGCCTTCGGAATCGAAGCGATAGCGCCATTACAGCGATAAGAGACGCATGTCGACGAATTAGCGAATATCGTGGTGGTTGTGGTTGACCTTGTCCCACGATGGTGATCGTATTCGATTTCACGTAAGCTCGTTTACTGAACAATGTAAGCGACCTATATAGGTAGACCAACCGCGACTTCGTAAAAACAGCTTCTCACAGTGTCATAGATAGCTCTGGTGACGTCAGCATACGCGCGTAATAACCAATTATGCATAACTTCATTGTGGTAGCGTTTCAACGAAAGCCCCGCCGCGGTGGTCTATAGTGGTTAAGGTACTCGGCTGCTGACCCGCAGGTCGCGGGATCAAACCCCGGCTGCGGCGGCTGCATTTCCTAGGGAGGCGGAAATGTTGTAGGCCCGTGTGCTCAGATTTGGGTGCACGTTAAAGAACCCCAGGTGGTCGAAATTTCCGGAGCCCTCCACTACGGCGTCTCTCGTAATCATATGGTTGTTTTGGGACGTTAAACCCCACATATCAATCATCAATCAAAGTGTTTCAACGAAAGCATTTTTCGATTTGTATTTCGGTGCAACGGGGACCTGTCGCGATGTCACGTGACAGTACCCTTATATGGCGGCCACGATTACGCCAGTGACGTCAATCCACTCTATTGTAAAAGGCATTGAAGGTTATGCTGATTCGCGCTTGCCTTATCGCTAGTATTGTACACTATACCACGTTTGATTCTGCTGATATCGGTTTCTGTTGTTTTTAATTCTGTTTATTCCTTTCTTTTATTTGTATACTTCAACCACGACCATAGGCATGCGTAGGGCTCACCTTTAGGAGGGTTAAGTTTATTGATTGATTGACTGAATGATTGATTGACTGATTAATTGATTGACTGATTGATTGATATGTGAGATTTAACATCTCAAAACCGCATATGATTATGAGAGACACCGTAGTGGAGGGCTCCGGAAATTTCGACCACCTGGGTTTATTTAACGTGCACCCAAATCGATATTGCGGCCGCCACAGCCGGGATTCGATCCCGCGACCTGCGGATCAGCAGCCGAGTACCTTCCTCTAGGCTCCGACGGCGGTGCGAGGGTGAAGCTTCAAAACTAATATGTAATACTCTAGTCGATATGCTTAGAGTTTCCTACTAGTTTACCCTCACGCTAGCTGCCTATATCGCAGAAAGGCGTTGGCTCTAGGTTTGATCCCGGGACCAAGACAACCGGATCATTCCTCAACTAGAAGCTTTACATTTCGAGAAATCAGGATGGTTTTTTCTTCGGCTTGTTTCGCATTAGTACGAGGTACAGATAACAGGAAGGGAGATAAAAAGCCACATATCAACTTGACTACAGGTGCCTGTCTCTTACTGCCAACAGACAGCAAGCGTGCAAAAGCAAAAAAATACAACGCGTGAAGGTGGATGCACAGAAAAAGAAAAAAAAAAACATGGACATATAAAAGCATGGGTAAGACGTAATGGACATGCATGCAAAAAAAAAAAATATTCGGCTGATCCCGCGTGCAGTGAAAATCACTTATTTGCGAAGCCTCCATCAAGAAATCTGCCATGTCGCACTTTTAAAATGAGCATAAGGCATGCGGAGACTGTCACAGTCTACGTAGGAAAGGAGGTATAAGCAATCCTGTTCTCGAACATGCAACCATAAAACCAATAGGGCCGAGTGGCGTACCCAGTGGTTGTGCTCCGTGCCCTCCCCCCTTCCTACACCAACCTTCCCCAAACGTCTGCCTACGCGA